CGGACGAAAATGGCAGGGACACGGAAAATTCAACGTTGCGGGGAGACGCCCGTCGTGCGCGTTATGTTGATATTTTTTTATTCGTACGCTGAGCTAATGGCGCTGGCCTTGCCGTCATAAGCTAAGTCTAAAGCTGCTGACCGCGAGCTGACGGCGATCTTCCAGAATTATTTTTCAACGTGCATCCCATGCAGACCATCGTGATTGCCGGTCTTATGAGCCTGGGAATGCGAGCTGGTTCTTACCTTGCACTGTGAACAGTACACTCAAATATGACGTCCATTGAATGCCCCATATAACACTGAGTAGTGATTAGAGAATTTTCGTAGACTGTTTTCCCACCTCCGCTATGCTCTCCAGAACGAAGGCGCCACTACTGCGCATGCGCGACGCTAGCTTTGCCCGCAGAGTTCCGGGTCCCGTAACGGGTTGCGGAGAACGTTGCGGGAAAGCGGAAACAATCTACGAAAACTCTCTATTGGGATCGGCGTGGAAATATCGGCGGTGGTGCACAGCAGCGGAGGCGGATACAGCACGGCCAACGCTGCAACATGATTGACCAGAAAAGGCTCTTTTATACTCCGGCGTTGAGCGTGTGTGTGTTAGCGATGAAGATGAGGGAACAGAGGCAATCGTGGGTGTGTGCTCATAGGCCTGTACCAAACGCGCCGTCGCAGATATCGAGTTCCTGCTCGCCGGGCTATGAAAGGCGTACGTTCTCTGCAACGCTGCGTTCGCCGCGCTCAAGCCTATGAAGTCCACTTCGCGTGCCCCCGAGTAGCTTCAGCCTATCACTCTAAAAAAGCCCGTGAGTCTGCTTTCCCGCACAACACTCGGAGAGCCAATCAGCGCAACTTACGGAGGCAGCTCAGCGAATGACTATGCCGAAACATCTGTTTAGACGAAAAAAACGCAGTCTGAGTTGTGACATTAAGCAATGCAAAACGTCACGCTTGCATTGCTTAATGTCACAACTCAGACTGCGTTTTTTCGTCTAAATATATGTTTCTCCATCGTCATTCGCTGAGCTGCCTCCGTAAGTTGCGCTGATTGGTTCTCCGAGTGTTGTGCGTGGAAGTAGACGCACAGACTTTTTTTAGAGTGTAGGCACCCTTGATATCCAGAAATGCCAGCCAGAGCGGTGTGTTTTGTTTTTGGGCTATTTCTATACACTGTGTTAGAGAAAATATATTGTCCTCCAACCTACTTTGTTTCCGAAACCCGTTCTGTAACTCGCCCAGTATGCCCTCGCAATCTACCTATTCCTCCAGTCTGTTCTTTATAATCTGCATTACCAAGCTGTAAATAACTGGTGTCACGGTTATGGGACGATAATTCCTAATATCAGACTTATCTCCCTTTCCGTTATATATCATATTCATCCTACTAAACTTCCATTCATCTGGAATATTTCCTTTTGTTATCATAGTGCTCACTACCTCCCTTAGTTTGGCCTTAGGTTTAGGACCCAAATTCTTCACCAGCTTGATTGGGATCCCATCTGTGCCTGTCGACGTGCCACTAAGGACTCTTCGCTCCGCCTTTTCCCATACTCTTTGTCCAAAATCCACGATGTCACAAGCCGGACTGCCTACTTCCTTCGGTTCTCTTATCTTCCACATGTACCCGTTCCCGAAATTTCTCATCCATCACTGCTCCTATATATCGTATCGCATTAGCCGCCTATCCAGGAGCCATCTGGTGGCGCCGCTTGCAACTAAGGCGAGGGGAGGACTTTATCTGGCAGCTGCGACGCGCGCGGTGTCCACACCGTGGGCCGGACGCACCTGCTTCGCTGTAGCACGCTCCTGCTGCCGGCCCAGTCGACGAAAGCCGAGCGGACGAGACGACGACCACCCGTCGTCTTTTCCGGCGCTTTTACACCTCATATCCGCCGGGATCTCGCGACAACTCGTAGCATTACACGGCGGCGGTTGTGGCGTTCTTTGGTAGCGTTTTGGAGGGAACTCGCACCCACGCCAATAAAGAAAAACAGACGTCTGGTCTATGGGCTCACTTTTCTGCAGAAGACCAGAACAACCCACCACAGTGAACAAGAGAAGGATCCAAGCCTAAGATGAAAAACGGAATACGGTAAGATTAGAAAAACGCTTTCTTCGTACTGCCAATGATGTTTCACTCGCTCAATGCCCCTGCGCGCATCGCATTTTTCAGATCTAGTATTCTTAGTTTTTGCCGTTCGCTGGGACGGTTCTTTTGTACGCCGTGATTGGCTCTCTCACGGATTTCTTTTAGGGTGCAGCGATGCGCTCGGAACACGAACAATTGCTTTCTCGTAAATAAGCTCGACCAATGAGAAAGGGTAACCGTCGTTCTGTATACTGTGCTCAGTCACACGGTATGCGGCAAGAAAAGAAAAAGGCGTTCATCCAATACTACTTAAAAGACAAGGCCCATGCATGACGCCATCGTTGATCCCCAGCTGCGGGACGACCGGGACCCGCCGCTCTAAGCGGCAACCACGCTGTAGCTGGACGAGGAACGCCGCAAAGCGGCAGGCGCGTCCGTCTTGGCGTCGACGCTGAATAGGGAGTTTTCGTAGACCGTTGTGTCTCGTGAGACGCTGAATAGGGAGTTTTCGTAGACCGCGCTGCCCCCTCCGCTAAGCGTTCCGCAACGAAGAAGTTGCTACTGCGCCTGCGCGCCGATAGCCTTGACTGTGGAGTTCCCGCTATCGTAGCGGGCTGCGGAGGGCCTTGCGGGACGGCGAAAACGATCTACGAAAACTCCCTAATGACACGCCGGCGGCGACGCTGACGCAAGCTATGCGCCGCTGCGTGGATCCACTAGCGATGACGTTTGGTGGTGGGGTGCACTTGTCCTTTAGGTGGTATGTGTTCACTCTGGTTTTTTGATTGGTACCGGATATTGCGCTTTAAAATGGTCCAACTGGTTGAAGGAATTCCAGTGATTCATATCTCTTATATGTGCCCGTGGTCAACGTTACTAGAAGCGGTCAGCTGGGAAATCGAGCGGCCTTCACCGGAAGAGCGCGGGCCGCTGCGGTAGCGGGAGAGACAGTGGCGCTGCAGTCGCCGCGAGATCGGTTCTCTCCGCGCCGTCTGCGGCACTTGCATCGCTTGCGTGGCCCGCGCCGGGCTCCGCCAGATCCGCTGCGAATCCTCCGCGAGTTTGGGAAGAACTAAAAGCTGTAAATCCACTTTTTTTTCTTCTTTTCTTTAGAAATTACCGGTTTGAGACAGCCGTTGTTGGGGTTGTGACAGTTTGGGGAGATCCGTTTTGAACGCGACAGCCTTCATCACAGAAACAGTGTCTTGCTTCTTCGCAAGTTATATATATATATATATATATATATATATATATAATAATGTGATATTCGGGTGTCTTTTGACGTTATCCTTTTTTGACTGGCAAGTGTGCTCCTGAAATTCTGAAAGAGATATTGGAAACGTCGGTGCGCGTTTCTTTTCGGTTGCAGTCATCGTCGTCTACTTCGGGTTCATATGTAATGGACCTTTTCCACATACCGACGGCACCAGGCGGTGACTGCACGAACTAAAAATCGAGGAAGTGACCTACCTGCGCTACCAATCGATAATCGGAGCTACGCTACCAGTTTCTTCGCTCTCTGAGCTGCGGCGCGTGCCCAACGCGACTTTAAAGAGGGGAAAAAAAAAAAAAAAAAAAACAGGACGGCAATCGACGTGTTTTTCTTTCCGTCCACTTTCTTTTTTTGTGTAAAACAATTATATATATGCTCCAATTACGTGTTCTACTCGCTGAACGACAGCCTACTTCCGAATTTCCTCGATTTTTCGTACCGATTTCCGCCGCTTGGCATCGGGCGCTCGCGCGTGCGCAGAACGCTTCTCGGAAAAGGTCCATTTTTACATCAGCCTGAGCAAGACTTCGATCGGTGGGGGCCTCTTATTTACTACTATTCGTGGTTGGTTTCCAGAAATGTGCGGGGACATTCGGAAACAGAAATGGCGCAGCATCTCTTTTAATTAATATTTTGGACCTTGGCCATCAGAGACCTTGGCCATCTGTCCATCGATGACGTGCCTGTAATGACGATTAATGTCGTCAAGCTGAAAATGCAAATCGCACACATTTTTTTTTTCTTTATGTGAGCGTGAACTTTCTTTGGGGCGTCGCGTTCTGCTAAACTTTCAGGTGCGCAGCATCCTTCGGAGTGGTAAAAAAGTGGCATTTTCTTCACTTTTCGACTCCAGTGATGCGCTATGACAGCCGGAAGTGCAGCAGCTCAGCACGCTTGCTCATTGATTGGCGAACGCTTCAAAGCTCCAGGAGCCAGAAAAGAACACCTACGAGCCTACGACGAGCCACCGATGACACGAACTAAAACACGACGAACAACGAGCACGAGACACCTCCGAGAATCGGTCTTAGGGCGACTATACAGAGCCACCTCCCGCGGGGACTGCGAAAAGGTGTCACGCCGAGAACTGGAATTAATAAGTATATGAATGACAAACCGCGAAAATTAATTTGAGCCAGAAATGCAATCTGAAACGTCCTGAGCTCTCAGTGTCCTGTCGTATATAAAATATCTGGGTCAATAACAGGTGGCGTAGCTAAAACATTTCTTCGCCAGAGAAGGTGGGGGAAAAAAAAAAGGGGGGGGGTGTATGAAGTCTTTGGCCTTATTTTCCCTCCCCTACGCGCTTGGTCAGTTTATTTTGTTTTCCTAAAAATCTTTCCGCAAATTGGCTCTTCACGTGACTTGAAGGGTAACTATTGAAGATCTGGGCGTTGTTTAACGTGCAACAGCTGTTCTTGAAGAACGATAGCACCTCTATTTGGTCCCTTTTTCAACAAGCCGAAATGCATAATGATCACGTTCATTAGTTCGCCATGTGCTCTGAATAACTTCCTCAAATTCTTACAGGCATTGTATTGTAGTATTCGCCAACTAAATTATAAATCAAAATGCAAAAAAAAAAAAAAAAAAAGTTTGTTGCCGCGAGATTGCGGGAGGTACATTTGCTGCTCACCCATTTTGCGCTTGATCCTGAACCACGCTGCTTTGGACATGGCGCATCAGGGACCACCGGGCTTGAACAGCATCATCAAAAAGTCGCCAACATGACGCTCGTCAACAGATAAGGTACATTCAACAGTACTTTAGGTCGAGGGATGCGTCGGTGCAGTTGTCGGTAAATCAGGGGTCTTTGAAAGACTGGCGACACTCAACGTTCCAAACATGCAGGTAAACTCGGCTTACATGTTGAAAGTCGAGATAAGATTAGCTGAGCTCAGAGAAAACGAGGTTCCACAACTTTGAAGAATGTTGCGCGCAGATTCGCATAACGACAAACTCCAGAAGGGGGGAAGAGTAACAAGTTTTTTCGACAGCGCTGGTTTCGCCGTAACTCTTCATGAATGCAATATATCAGGGTCCACTTGGACTGATGACGAAGGGAGTCGATCGTGTCATCACACTGACAATAACTGGGGACGGAAAGCTTTCACTGAGACTTCTTGAGCACCGATGCACACGCAAATTTTATCTTCTGTATTCACAAGGCTGAAAATATAAGAAAAAAACAAACGCTGCCCTTCCGTATAAGCACACTTGTTTCTTCTATTTACGACGACGCCCGGTACACATTCACGTGCACCGATTCACTCAACAACAACACCGTCGTTCCTACATCGCAAGATTTCGTCCATAGTCTCGGCACTGGCACAGGGATAAAAAAAACACGGAAGGCAAACGCACCATTAGTGATGGGGCTCGGCGAAAAACACAATCACACCGAAACTTCCGGCGACCACGACGAGGCTTCTCGAACGCACACGGACAACCGCAGCTCGAAGAAGTACGACGCAGCTGCACGAAGCTCCGCGCACATTTCGAGGCAGATGTTTTCCTTTTGTCGGCGTAGAAACCCACAAGCGCTGCGGTCACCTCGAAGAAACGGCGCTGTTGAATCCAACGCCGCAGCCTCTCCTCGGCGCGTTTGCAACCTGGATCAAAACTGGCGCCGTCTTCGAACGATCTCCTGCGATTGGTCGCGCCTTCGCTCCGCCGCACGTCTCAGCCAATCACACGACTCGCAGCAAAGGGAGGTGTCGCGGACACGTTTTTCCGAACGAGGCGTCTAAAATGGAGCATCGGTGAAAAAATGCAAATCCAGAACGAACCGTGTCGGCAAGCTTCGCTCATACCGAGATATGTGAATTACAGCGCGCACGCGATAGTATTGTTCTCGGCGCGGAATTTCGCGGCTTTGGCGATGCAGATATCGCACTGCAGCGATCCACGTGTCACACGGCATGCGGCGAGCAACGCCGACTGCGGTGCGTCCCGCTCACGCTCGGACTTGGGTGCGTGGCCACCGCTGTTCAAACTAGAAACGGCGACGACGAGAGGCTGTCCAGGTCACTCACGCCTACCTGCACTCACGCTGGCAACCCCAGCCGCCACAGCGCCCTCCACGCAGGAAGCGGAGAGGGCACGAACTGCGCTCCGACCGGAATCACGCTTCGGCAAACGCCGACATTGCGGCGAAATAACGAGAGTATAATAACGACGTGGGCGAACCGCGCAAAGTAAGGGCGTTCATTCACATGCGGCAGTAACTCTTTCTCTCTTGAAAAGAAAACAAAAACAGAACGCAATACCACAGGCGTAGTACGGAAGTCCCAGGGTGCGTATCGCACCGCGTATGGAACGCCAAGCATTCAGGGTGTTACGACTCCCGAGCAAATTGGTATCACTCCGCAGCCCATGCGATTTAATCGTGAGCTCATAACGCCAAGGAACGAATCACAAAGCAAGAAACGCATGGACGGAATGAGCCACGCCCAGCGTTATTAACTATAATTAGTTTGACCATTGAGGAGGGGAAAGGCGATCAAGATTATGCTTCAATCAAATACGTTGTTAGGGGAATACATGACACTCCACTCATTTGCGTTAGACAGAACGACGGCCGCGCCGAATCCTCTCCTTGTCAAGTGGTTTATTTTGACGACGTGCTCGCAGCCTCCAACGTGCTCGCAGCCTCACCGGCCTGCGAGCACATGGAGGTGTCACAACACGTTTAGCGTTCGATTCACGAGGGCAGGAATCTGAGACGTCGGCACGTGGGCCGGGCGAAAGTGTGCCGTAATTACAACAACCCCCGAAGTGAATTACGATCGAGTCGGTTCCGGAACCAAAATATAGGTAAAAATAAATAAATGATATTAAACAAATTAGTCATTAGATGTTTAGACCGCGGGAGTTTAGTCTGCCAGAAGATGGAGACATTGTTACGCGTTGCAGCCCTGGTGTCTATGTGTATCACAGGGTATACACGACCGCACGCCGGTACGATGCTCAGTTAGATCGAAAGGAACAGGGGAGAGTCATTGAACCCAGAAATCTCTGAGCTCTAAAGCGTGAGTTTTCGTTCCATGTGCTCTTAGCTGCGGTCTGAACAAGTCCAAATTTACATAAAAAAACGCAAAAAAAAATAGAAAGCTAGACTTGTTATTGTAAATTTTTGTGTAGCATCTGTTGGATCGTTGTTGCGGCAGTGTCTTTTCCAGCTCCCAGCTCCCAATAAGTATATATGCTCTAAAATGCAGCTTTGTTTATCAATAACCTGACGCGGGTTCATTAATCGAAGAGGATACGTCGAATAATCAGCGAAACTACGGAGTTTTAGAATGGCGCACCCAAAAGCTTTGAGGCAAAGGAATAGCGTCGTCACCATTGCGCATGCGCCGAGCCCAAACAGCATTTGGATTGGAGCATGACGGCGACGCCATATCTTTGGGCACGCGAGGCTTTTGGGTACGATATTCTAAAACTTGCTATTAAAGTAACCCGTGCGCACCGTGGAGTGGTGATTTCTGCGATTCCAACGAGTGAATCGAAGGTCGCGAGCAGAGCGCGGTACGTAGCGTCATTGTAAATTCGTACGTCACGCGTCAAGGGACCTCAAACGTGTCCGAATAGCGAGGTTTCACATGGAAGTCGGTGTTTGTGACGCTCTCCTCCCTAGTAGTGCACCCCAACCGAGGGGCCAGCAGCGAGCACTCCATCCATGGTTGCGAAGGGAGAGCGATTCATCAGCTGTTGGTCATCGTCACACGTGGTCAACGGGGAAACCGTTTGAAACGGCTTTTTCTTTATCGCCTTTGGCTGATTTAAAAACACCAGAGCTGCGCAGGTGCTAACCTTCACAAACAGATAGAGCACATGGTTCTTGCATGGAGTCCCTATATTTTACTCTCCTACTCAACCACATCCGTCCGTCACGCGCAGTGCGTTGCGTGTCAAAGTTACGTGTCAAAAGGACTTAGGCACGCGAGCAATGTCGGCACTGTCGGATGCAGCCAAAAAATGCATAAGTAATGCAAAAAAAAAAAAAGGAATGAAGAAAAAACTGGTTTGCAGCTCGAAACAATAAGAAAAAAATGCATTCTCCCAAACCACGCGTGAATGCTCGTATGTCTAGGTCGTCTATTACGAACAATGCTTTGCGGGAACTCTGTGCAGTCGACCGACCTTGCTCGTCCGGCTTGACATGCTCTGTGCGGTCACGTGACATGTTCTTTGTGCCTGCCTACTGAGTGTTCCAGAAACACTGCCTAATGGGTCCAACTATCCATAATTGAAAAGAAGATTTCTGGCTCAAAATTGGTTTTTCGTCGTCTTATCTCGCCCAAATTCGCCCCTCCCCTCCCCCCCCCCCCCCGAAGGGGGGGGGGGGGGGGAGGGGGGGCGGATTTAGAGGAGGGGGAGGTCAGCTCCCCCCTTCCCTTGAAATACCCAAGGCATTTTTTAATAAAAAAAAAAAACGGCGTTCCTTATTTTGTTTTGTCCAGAAAAGGAATACGAAAAAGAAATGTGGCTTTTGGTTAAAATGGCAATTCTTAGTAAATGCTTGGTTGCTGGGCAAGTTGGTACTGGATAATCATATTAAAAAATAGCGCAAAAAAGACAGGACAAAAAGACGAAGAAGCAGATAGGACAAGCGCTAACTGGCAACTAAAATTTATTGAATGATTCCTACTATGCTATCGCCGTGCACGCGCTTAGTCTCGTCTCAACAAAAACGTGGCGTACCGCCAAATCAGCAGATACAGCCGCCCATCGCCTGTTCAATAAGCCAGCAAGACAGCTACATCACCCCACCGCACAATCCGAACGATAAAAGGAAAAAGCGCCGCGTTAATATTTACAAGTTAGATAGTGTTAATGAAACTGTAGTCTTTCGGTTGCATATACACCGATGCGACGCTTATGCAAACGTCTTTGTCACAAGCATGTATTCTTGCCGCCTCCAGCAACTTTCGTTCCAACCTTCTTTTGTTGCGTCCCTCCACTTGCCGGGGCATTGTAAAACTTGTCGTTGTTCCCCCACGCTGGACGGTGCGTCCAGCGTGGGGGAACAACCTAAAGTTTTACAATGCCCCGGCAAGTGGGAACCGTAATTGTTGCCAAGAGAAGCTGCATGCTCTCCAAGTCTATGATTCAAGCAACGTCCCGTCTGGCCTATGTAAACACGACCACACGTTAAAGGAATCTTGTAAACCACCTCAGTGGCACAAGGCACAACTTTTGTGACGTGTTTCTTGCTGCAAACGGGTTTCTTCACTATCGGCCAGCTCACCATAGCGCACAATTTTGACAATCTGCACGGGGCAGTGAAAACAACGTCCCCGTCGAACTTAGTGTGACACCTTATGAATGTCAAGTAGCACTACAAAACTCTTTGGTTTCCTCTTGAGTACTTTTCAACTTTTTTAGGATGGATTCCGCAACTGCCTGTATTAGAACCGAGGGGAAACCGGAGTGTTCCAAGCGAAGTGTCTGGAGGTCAAAGCTGTCACTAATTACATGCAGACAGGACTTCAGCAGTGCCGACTGAAGGCACAGCGAGGCGATGCCCCTCTTTCTCAATTTAAAGTGGGCTGAGTCAAAAGCCAAAAGGGCCTTTTTTGTGTGTGGCCCGTACATCCAGCACACATGGTTAAGGGAGTTAAAAGACAACCGGACATCTAAAAACTGTAAAAATCCTTCCAACGGAAGTTCGTAGGTAAAATGTAAA